TTTCATGTTTAAAGAGAGACCTTAGCCAGTGCTCTGTTAGTTTAAAATCCAGATGACATTGATGGGGTATCCTTTTCTTTTTCTTTTTTTTTCCAAAGAGTAGCCTATTATTAAAACATGAACATGTGTTAATAACTTTTGCAGAGGTGCTCTCTTTGATTGTCAGCAAGAGGAAAAGAATAATGCAAATATTTTTTCTATAGTTTTTCTTCAGCAACATGACGTTTGGTGTTACGCCAAAATCTGTATCAAATGGGTAATTATCTAATTGAGTGATTTATTATAATGATGTATTTTAAGTATTAACCTGATAACAAGTGTGGAAAATGTCTACAGAATGAGTGAACCCCAAGCCTCAGCAGGAAATAGTGTCAGTTCTAAACCTGTCAACACTTGGCACAACACCAGACCACACAAAGAGGACATGGGTTTCTTCACTGAATGTTTTGTTCCAGATCGTGTGACGTGTAGCGACATGCTGGGGTCAGACTGTGCCTTGATATTCTAAGTCAGTTGTCCCAACCCTGGTCCTGGAGGCACCCCAACACTGCACGTTTTGCATGTATCCTTAATCAAACACACCTGATTCAGGTCATCGGCTCATTAGTAGAGACTCCAAGATCTGAAGTTGGTGTGTCAGCGAAAGGAGCTATGCAAAATGTGCAGTGTTGAGGTGCCTCCAGGACCAGGGTTGGGAACCACTGTTCTAAGTGGACCCTCAAAAAGGGAACGCAATCAAACAGACAAATGACATCAGTCTGTATAATAAATTGTCAGAACCAAAGGCTCTGGATATTAAATCTGCACAAAGATGAGAGAGAGAGAGAGCAATGGACAGCCTATTTTTTTTTTTTACATTTAATATTAACCCATTATTTAGTATTCATGTATAACTTCATATTTTCTGTACTCTTGTGCTGTGATTGTTTTCATCAGAAAATCTTCAGATATCTATAGTTTGTTTCTCATACAGTAATAAAGCTATTATGTTTGTATATAGCACCCAAATAGACTTATAACTTTCAATGCCATGATAATTGTATGCTCAAATATTGATCATAGCACAGTATGGGTCAATGTTACACTTGAATAACACACTGAAGGTGCAGGCTGTGGAGACATCAGCGATATAAATGCAGGGGTTGGTGAAGGTGGCCATTTGGCTTCATTTCCTAAATGAAAATCTTTCTCATGCAGAACAGCCATGTGGAATCAGATATTGGAATGGGAAAGCCTGCATCCTCGCTGGTGACTCCATCTTCAACACCCGACTGGTTTGAATTTGTGCAGATTAACCGACGAACAAACGCTGCCCTTTTTCCTTTTACTATTATTAGACAATAATAGTAATAACGATCAACAAATACGTCCAATATGGCAATTTCTGTGGAGCAGCCAGGCATTCTGTTCTCTAGCTGCAATCACTATTTCTACTGCTTTCTCCTAAAATATGGTATATGTGGTGGGCTTTTGGCTTCATTTAGGAAATGTAACCTTTTGAAAGAAAACAATCCACTGCTTTGATGGCCTTTTCTGACACTGACACGCATGGAGACGTCTTCAGAATCAGATGGCATTCACACCATGATTCCCACATCAGTCACATGCTCTGTTCATGTCATAGGCGCTGGAGATGATAGGCTGTGATTTCACAAAAATAGAAAGAAAGAAAGAAAGAAAGAAGGAAGGAAGGAAAGAAAGAAAGAAAATATAAAAAATATGAATGTGTGATTTATATTTCGATATTTTTCTGACAGATATGCTGCCTGTGTAAATGTGGACCTCAGAAGAGGCCAAACATAGCAACCGATAAAAGAACATTTAGCATGTTATTTCTATCACAGCAATAAAGATAGCAAGAAGTTCACATCTCATAAAAGGCCAACATCTTGAAATGCCAGCTTATGTCTTGAATAACTATTTGGTAGAAATAAAATTGTTTTAAATATATATAACGAATATTATAAACATACATGTTGACAATAACATTACCTCATAACTTGCTTGCAAAAATAAATAAAAATAAATAAATAAATAAAAAAGTGCGTGTATATAAATAAACCTAACCCAACCCAATGTAATATTTGTGCCACAGCTTCCATAAACTTCAAAAACAGTATTGGTTATTACCAAAATATTGTTTTCATGTTTCTGCGGTTAATCCACCAGTATGTGTAAAATGCTAAAAATTAGCATTTTTATCAGGCTCCTGTGTGTAGGTTCAGTAATTTCACTTTAATGCCAATGAATAGGTTATTTTTATTGCCATTAAAGTGAAATAACTGAACATAAACACAGGAGCCTGATACAAATGCTCATTTTAGAGGACAGTTTTTGACGGCACTTAGAGGCTTTTGCATCTTAACTCTTCATACACACACACACACACACACTTGTTTCTGTGAATTGTGCGGATTTTCCATAGACTTCTATTACTTTTATACTGACCAAACAATATTTTTTATCCCCTAACCCTAATCCTACCCCTTACAGAAAACCAGTTTGCATTGTTACACTTTCAGATAAACATCATTTACTATTTTTAATAATTTTTTCCCCTCGTGGGGACCACAGGCCAGTCCCCACAATGTCAAAAATGTCAGGTTTTACTATCCTTGTGGGGACATTTGGTCCCCACAATGTAGCATAAACAAGTACACACACACACACACACACACACATACATATATATATTCATTGCAAAATGGCAAGAAAATTCTGCCTCATAAATTGGCTGCAAAAATAAATATATAAATACATTTATATATATTTATTATTATAGATATTTATTATGTATATATTTATTTTTGCAGCCAATGAGGCAATGCTACTGTTTATCATATTGTTTGTGGGGTTTTTTTTACAACCAAGGCAAAACAAAACATTATTGTTATTGTTATTTTTATTGTTGTTGTTGTTATTGTTGTCATCATCTTCATCATCATTGTGTTTATCATGAAATTAAGTGCAGCCTCTCCCAAAAGACACCCTTTATTTCTGAACAAGGTGTAAAGTTTACGTTTCCCAGGCCTGAAGGTATAAATTCAGGAACCACTGTTTAATGCCTAGCTCCCCTATGTTTCTTCTAAACTTGATACAAACAAAAAAATCAAGTGAGAACAGTTCCTAAA